ATCAGACTGTCAAATGTGAAGGAGAAACTTGGGGCAAATAAAGGCTGAAGAAGCTTTGGATTTTGTGATGATGTGATCCAAGGTAACCGTGGGGAGTGGAGTTGCAGTGGGGGGGAGACGATGGAAGTCCAGTGCAGGGACCAAGGGCTGGGTGGAGTGGTGTGGTCCTGGTGGCCGCAGGCACCACCCACCCGATGGGGAGCTGGGCAGCCCGCGCCTTGAAGACGTCTCATGGTAGAACTGTGCAGCTCTCACGGATGGGGTCCCACCTGCTTTGGAATCAGCTGTGTGTCTGAGTAAGATGGTGAGCTCCCAAAGATCGGGTAACCCCGTTTCTGTGCACGGATACTGAATTCTGGGTTTATATTTGGGAATTGTGTGGCTCCCCAGTGAGGAGGCAGCGCACGCAGAGTTACATATGGTTCTAAATTTAATTTCTTTAAATCACCAAATGCATGAGCCTTCACTGGCATGATGAATTTTTAATGTAACTTGAGCCGGCCTTCTAGAATTTTACATTTGCATTTCCTCTGATGCCTGAACATTTTTAGGTGAAACACTATTCTCCCAAATTTCCTCGTGTTTGTCCACTTTATTAGAGACTAGAACATAGTCCAGAACTTACTCATGTGACGCTTGAGGCAGTTTGGGTCTTGCTCCTTGCATCCCAGGCACCAGCAGTATAATGCTTCATTGTCTTTACAGAGTGGTCATTATGGCCGTCAGGTTTCTCTGGATGGCAGCGATTTTCACTAGAAAATCCCGTTTTATTGATTCTGTTAATGGTGAATCATATTTGCTTAGATTGGGTTCTGTTGACTGATACTTGTTTCTGGCATAAGAGAAAATTGAAATGAAAAGAAATCTGCATCTCAGTTTGTTCCTTTTCTATAAATGCAGTGGAAGTCTTTATACCACTTTCATTTGCCCTTGAAACCAAGTGAAATAATGGATATAAAGTGCTTTGTAAAGAATAAGATATTCTCATTATGCCATTTTTGGTCTTAAGAAATAAATGTAGTAGAAAGAGCACTTTTAGTGTAAATCATCCTCGGGCTTTAATTCTGACTCTAGAGCTCGGGCAGATGACTTCACGTCTCTGGTCCTTGGGTGTCTGTGAAATGACAGGCATGGCTGGGACTTTGGGATCTTCTAGCAGAGTGGTTACTTAAGTGGCAAGAGCATCAGTTTTACAACATGGGCATGGCACAGGCCTGCGAGTAAGTATACCACACCCCATCCCCAACGAGAACACCAAGATTATTTATTTATTTATTTATTTACTTATTTACTTATTTTTGGGGGTGAAAACCTTGGTGCTAGACAACTGCTGTTTTCCTTCTGTTTCATTCAGTTTTCTTCATCTTTATGTGTGCATTTCTTTCCCTTATATGCATAGTTTTGTCCTGTCCTTCATTATGTGCTGTGTCATTTCCATTTCACTTTCCTTGTGTTTCATTCCTGTATCTTTCTTGTTTAGAGCAAGTGGAGCACGCAGCTGGCAGTAGCCTCTGTGTAGGACCCTTCAGGAACCTGATGGTAAGTGCACACGTGTACTTACCAGGCTCCCAGCGGCTCTGCGGGACCAGCTCTCGAGGCGCCTCCTGCCTCACAGATAGAAACTAACAAGTCCTCTCTCCCCTCTGTAAAAGTTGTCATTCAGGTTATTTTTACTTTTAGGTTTGTGTGTTTTTCCCTTAATTTGATTACATATGGAACAGAAACCAGGTATCGGGGGAAAATGTACTGATTTAAGGAAATGTAGCAGGTTCCACCACCTGTTACTGCAGTATTTGGCTTTGTGAGTGACACCACGCATACCTAAGTGAGTCAGGACACCCAGCTTCTAATTTCTGCCCCATCACAGACTGAGTAATCCCTGCGGGTCCCTGACCCTCAGTTTCTCTTGCAAAATAGCAGGTAGGACAGGTGATTTCCGACAGCTGTTTCACCTCTCATCTGTGGTTCTGGTGGGAAGTAGCATGAGCGTTAGATGGTTCTGATAAAGATTGAGAAAATCGTATGTATCCGATAATCTCAGTTCCGTGAATGAATAATAATTAGATGCATGAGAGACGATGTATTTTCATCATTAACTAAGTCTATCAGTGTTTACCCAAAGGCACTTTGGAGGTAAATTTAATTGTTCTAGTCCTTCGTTTTTTAATAAATATATAGACTGCAGAGCCCCGTGTCTTTAGTGGCCCATATTACATTGGTTTATCCCCGTGGTTCTTAATCTGGGATGTGCCTTCCCCCCACACCCCAATCCGAGCATTGGGCCACGTCTGGAGACCTGTGCTTGTCACAGCTAGAAGGGCGGCGGTGTTACTACTCCTGGGACCTAGTCGGGGGAGGTCAGGAATGCTGCTGAACGTCCTCCGATGCGTCAGACGGCCCCACGACAGCATGACCTGACCCCCGGTGTCACTCGTGCAGCGGCGGAGATGTCCTGGCGTCCGGCCTGTAGCCCCCTGAATAGGATGCACATGTCCCTACCCAAGGGGCTTGTCTCACAGGGAATCAGGGCTTCCTGGTTATGGTTCTGAAAGGGGGCAGCAGCCACGGGCGGGGCGTGGAGGGGCACTTCTCCCTGGTTGGGTTTGGTGAGTCCAAAAATAGACCTTTGACATCCAGTGTCAGCTAGGTGTTCCTTTTAGGCAGGGAATAAAACTTCAAATAGCACTTATACCATTTAGTAGTTACGTGATATCATTCTGAGTCCATATTAATGAGTGATATTATTAAAGTTGTCCTCTGCTTTATTATAACATAAGTCTAGAAATCTCATACTCGGTTTATGTATAGGCCAACTTGAGAGGTTGTAGAAAATTTGAATTGCTTTTGCAAGGGATTGTATTGACATTTGTATTTCTGTTCAATTTTACAGTGTGATTTTTAAAAAATGTATGTAAGGTTTATGCATAAGAGACAAGGTTTAGACCATATCTCCATTTTTATGTTTTTTGAAAGCTCATACCTGTACAAAATAAAAAGTAAGAGGTCAGTTAGGAAAGGGTCATACTGCTTGGCCTGTTAAGGGTATGTGAGGAGCTGATGTCCTGTGACGTGTCTTCATCCAGGGAAAACCTTTTCTGAATGTAACTTGAATTAAGCGTCTGCAGGCAGCAGGAGCCCCATTACACGGATCTCAGGAGCTGGGAGCTGCACAACTAGAGCGGTTACACTAGTCGCCAGTCACTGGTGTAATCTGATAGGGACTGGGCGCCACACGGGAGGGCTTGTGTCATGGTGAGGATAAGAAAACTGGTTGAAAGGATTAGACTCCAAATTCCCTTAAGCATAACTGGATTCCTCAGGAACCTGTGTCATCATCAGATTGGGGCTGAGTGTGCCGGTAACAGAGGGAGAAAGAGGAGGTGATTTCTTGCAGCGTGACATGACGTGACGTGCCGTGTTTGCATGGCCTTGCAGAGGGTTTGGTTCATAATCCCTCCACCTGGAGACATGAATGGGACCTCTGCTCTCTCTGCACTAGGATTTGACTCCGGGAAGTCATGCCTGTGTCCCAGGTTCCATTTCAGCTGCCTTTGGAAATGAACGGACTGATATGAAACATATCCTGAGTGAACTTGTACATAGCTGCAGAAAACTTCTGTTTTCTTATAAGCTGAAGATTTAGGGATTTAAAATGGTATTTTGGAATTTGTTTTTTAAGACTGACATTAAATGGCTAATTATTTTATACCTTTTCTCTTGTATCTCTGAAATATTTATCAGAGTCTAATGGTGTTTTGGGGGATTAATATTTGCTTTGTTGTAATTGATGTTTCTGTTTTTAATCATCATGATCTTTGCAAGGATGATATTGTATGTCTCTGACCCCGATTTTCATGTTATCTATGTTGTAGTTAATTATGCTGCTCTGTAGTGATTCTCTGTTAGGGAGAATATCATTTCCCAGAAGCCACGCGTGGTTCCTAGTTTATAATTTACCAATTCAGAGATAAAGGTGACAAGAGGCTTACTCCGAAAGAGAAAGGGCAGCTCTGGGGACTTTTGAGGCCTGGTTGAGGAGAACATTGCAGAAAGAGAAGGAAACTGTTTGGGGAAGGTGAATAGGAACTTACTCTGAACCTGAAAAGCGAAAGCTACCAGGCATGGGAAACTTAGAATTTAACAAATGGCAAGGGAGGGCCACACATTCTGGTTGCATCCCAGAGCCTGAGCTCCTGCGCCTTCGGTGGTAGAAACTTCTGTAGGAAATTGTTTGTCCTTACTGAATATCTTGGTGACTTGAGCTTAACTGTTCCGGCTTGTCAGAAATGTGCTCATTTTTATCTTATCTTCTGAACTGTGGATCACTTGGAATGCAGTTAGTGTTTCCTGAATTCCATCCTCCGAATTGTTAATGAAATATTGAATTCTTCTGGACCTGGAGTCGTGTCCCTTAGGACCCTTGGAGTGCCGTGTCGGCTGCCGGTGAATTATTCATCATCACTCTGCATTCGCTGTTCGAGCCATTGTGCACGTGTGTCCCTTGCCGTGCAGCACAATCTCTGCTTCTGTTGTGTTATCTGACAATTAAGGACATTGAGTCTTAACTGAAAGGGCCCTCCCTAAGTTACACCATGTTGTTTCTGGCTGATGTGCTCCTTACAAATAAGCAGACTTTTCTGCCAGTCCCTCCTATGTGTGTATTGAAACTCGCTGCTGTTATCTATTTCCCTTTGACACCAATATTGTTAACTTTATAGAATATATTATCTAGTAGTTTGATAGCTATTATAACTACGAGGAAACTAATGCCCAGGATTCTTAGAAATACCGGATTAGTGGGTTTCCTTTTTTTCTCGGACATGACTTAAAAGTATTCATATTCATCATCTATTCCTTTCTTCAGGAATCTGAACTGATAGTTGCCTAGAAATAGACAGTTGGCTGTGATTGGATTAGTAACTCACTTTCAAGAATGCAGGATAATAGTGAGTGAGTGAATGAATGAATGAATGAATGAATAAATGCATACTGTGTTTCAGGGAAGAAAAAATCCCAGGAAAATAAAAACAAAGGAAACAAAACTGAAGACATACAGCTGAAGACAAGTGAGCCAGATTCCACTTCTGCCAACATGAGAGATTCCGCGGAAGGTAAGCTCGGGCGCTGGGCTTGCATGATGCAGGTTATGTGTCACCAGGTACTTCAGTTTTGTGTGTCCTTGAAATGCCCTTCTGAGAACCATCCAAGAACTATGAAGGGTTAAGCAGCAAAAGGGCCATCTATATTTAATAGGACGAACTGAGCCTTCCACATCAAACCTCCCCTTGAAAAAATTATTAAAGACCGTCCTTGTTTAAAATGGAAAGCATTCCCTGGTAAAAATAAAGAGAAACATCCTATATGATTGCATTTATAAATTATAAAGTTCAAAGCCATCAAAACAAATCTATGGGGATAGAAGTCAGGCTGGCAGGGACCTGAGGCGGTTTCCGGGGTGTAGTACTAGTCCATCACTGATCTGCGGGGTGGCCATGTCGGTGTATTTACTTTGTAAACATTTTCTCTTGCTCTATGCTTATGATTTATACACTTTAGGTATGTTTTGTACTTCAGTTAAAAATTACTTCTCTAAACACCTTTGATTTTAGATATCAGAATGAAAAATGTAAGAATGTAAAGTGGTGTTTTTTGTTAAAATTTAAATTCCTGTTTTAGCTCTTCGTGTTTTCTTCCCACAAAACCTTGTTCTTTATAGTGCCTTCTGAGGATTAATACTCTAGGTCCTCCATGATATAAGAATTGACAGTTAATCAGAAGGCAGACTGCTGGGTGCTCATCACATTGAGCCACCCTGTCGAGACTGGCACTCTGAGAAGGGAGGGAGCTGTGTCTTGATTTGTTATGCGTCCAGTTGATGCAGAGACCGGAGCTTGCTCGAGTTGTTTATAGTGACCCAAAGAGGCGAACTTCAAAATGTAGGCTTGTGACTCTTTCAAGAAACAATTGTAGGGGAAAAAAGACCAACAAAGTATTTGGGATGCCTTTTGGGTATTTTATTAATAACACTGTTTGTGGTGATGGCATTCATAAAGGATTGTAATTTCCTGTGGCATTGTATGAAGCAAGAACAGACAAGTTTATTTCCCAGAGCCTTATGAAAAGCAACTTGAGTTCAGCCTGTCCGTAGCAGGTCTGTTAGGACATTTGTTTGAACAACAACAAAAATACTAACGAGCCTCACTGCCTTTAGTGGCAGAATTAGAAAAGAAAATTCAGCAGCACTTCTCCCCTTCAAAAATTCAGGACAGTTACTTTCCTGATGTGACATCAGGTTCCATGAAAAAAGACACATAATAGTTACTTGTTTGTGGAATAGTAGGTCAGATGCAATTGGTTCTATACAGTGTCTGCGTGTCCTTAGCAAGTGGTCTATATCCTGAGCCAACAGTCAAGACCCTTCCATGTGTTCCCCAAACCTTCCTTTATGTTTAAAATTCAACAGACCTTAGGGACTGTGTGGACACACTTTGATGTGGGTCCTAATGGGTAATAGAGCTGTGCGTGTTTTGGTTCATATTACTTTGGACAGTTTTAAATCTGGAATTATTTACCAGTCGTAGGGAAGGAAAAATGTTGGTTTTGTGTTTTATTTTCATGAAAAGAAACCACAGATTTTGGCTAAAAATGAACACTATAAAGAACTTTCTGAGCCTTAGAGATGCTATTTTCATTGTCTCATTTCAACTTTTTTTTAGCAACATGCTGGGTCTTTGTTGAAAGTGTATTTGAAAAGGGAGTTAGCTCCTGATTTGAAATACATTACCGACATCGAATGACTGGTTTCCCAGTTTGTGGAACACTCACGGAATTTATGAAATTTGTCTGGGGGGGAGAGAGAGAGGGCTGTCTTTTATTTAAAGGCAGAAGCATCATTGCTAGTAAACGTAGCAGCAGATGAGTAAAAGTAAGACTGACATTGCCGGGGAACAGCAGGATGGCCACGACAGAATCATCGCGCTCGTGTCAGTACCTTGCATTTGCAGGGCTTGGGACGGTGGCCTTTCCGCCCCCCTCCCCCCTGCCCTGTATGTGGGCAGTCACCAGCTCTGTGACAGTCCCCTTCTCTGTTGACAGTCTGGCCGCTTTTTTCTGCCTCTGCTGCTGCTTTGCATTTCCATCTCTTAGTGTAGGCAGCCATCATCTCCCTTCTGATAGCACTGTGTCAGTGTGGGTCTTGTGCCTCCAGTAATGTCCCCTTCCCAGTCCCTTAACCCACATCGCAGCCAAATCTCCCAGATGGCACTCTTCTGCTTTAAAGCACCTTAACGGAGCCCTACGGCCCCCAGGTAAGTCCCAGCTAATTCACAGTGTGCACGTTTTGATTCCTCTTGTTACTTGACCTTTGGTCCTTATTACTTTTCTGTCCTTGACCTTCAGGACCAGCCTGCTCGGTACTTTATCTAAGAAGCTACATTAGATGTTCCTCTTGTGTGTTTTTGTGGCAACACATACTTCCACAAGCATAATCATTAATTTATTAGAGTAGTGTTGCCTGCTTGCTTGTATGTAACTCTTGTTAAGGTGACGCACTGTGAGGATAAGGATCTTGACAATCTTGTTCCCCTAGTACTGGCATGTAGTAAATATTTGTCCAACGCAGGGGGAAGAGCCACTTAACAGCCAGCAGAAGTCACGGTGGCTCTGCCCCTTCTACAGAGCCTTTAACTCCTCAAGTGTGTCCAGTAAACGGGGACTAATTCAACAGAGACTCGGTGGTACTGTAGAGAAAGCAGTGTCGTGGACCTTCTCTGTCAGCATTCAGTGTGCTGTAGTAACTCCTGTCTCCAAGTCCCCTGCTATCCCTATGTTTTCTTCAACCATGACCCCATTTCTCTGCTTTCCTTTAACTTGGAAGAGCTGCTTATAGCCTCCCTGTCTCACCCTCCTCCTCCCATTCGCTGAGGAACTCCATTAGGCATTTGTCCCCACACTGCACTAAAACTTGTCACAGTCGCCACACCTCCACCTTGGTAAATGGAGTGTTCAGTTCTCAGTCCTCATCTCACCCGACCCATCAGCAGTCCTAGGCAAAGCTGATCGCTCCCTCCTTGCAGCTTTCTGTACTTAGCCTGAGGGCCACCGCACTCTTGGCTCTGCAGATACCTCACTGGCCATTCCTCTGACCTCCACATACTGGGGTCATCAGGGGACTGTCTTCCTGACTCTGTTCTGTCTGCATTCACTCTCTAGGTGACCTTGTCCAGTCCCATGCTCCAAATTGCCATTTCTAGTCTGAGGACTTGTGCTTTCTAGGCTCAGCCTCTTTGTTGAACTTGAGTCATTTATAACTAACTACTTAACACCTTGGATATCTGTTGGGTACCTCCAAGTCAAGCACATCCAAAGTAAACTCGATTTCCTCCAGCACGCACCCGCACACAGACCAAACCTGCTCTTGCCTCAGCCTTCTACTGTTCGGTAAGGATTTGTGCAGTTGCTGTGAAACCTTCCTTGATATGTCTCTCACCATAGCCTGTCCACAAGCACATCTTGTCAGCTCATCTCCAGAGTCTATCCAGAGTCTGACCACTTGCCTCCACCTCCCCGTCCCCCCTGCCCTTCTCCTGGAGGACATTCCTCTTTTGTCTCCCTGCCTCCACCCTTGTCCACCTAGAGTTTTCTGTCTTCTCATAGCCACCCGAGTGATTCTCTGGAATATAAAAGTTATGTCATATTTGCCTGTGAGAACTCTCTGGTAGCTCCCTGTTTCTCTCAGTAAAGCTGCAGATTCCTGTGTGCGTTGGTTCCCTGTGGCTGCCTATCTGATCTCATCTCCTCCCCTCTCTTCCTCCAGTCCCGCCCCTACCCACAGCCTTGGCAGCTTCCTGTGCGCTTCCTTGAACACATCTGGCAGGTTCTTGACTCAGAGCTTATGCATCTGCTGTTTCCTCTACCCAGAGGGCTTTCTTCCCCCAGAGGTTTGCATGACTCGCTTTCTTTAGGTCTCTGCTCAGCTGTCACCCTGCTAGTGAGTCCTCCCCTGACCACCTGTCTGCTGTCGCCCTCCCATGGGGCCAGGCTGGGTTTCTTTTGGGCCTAGACACTCAGAAGGGACTTCAGATTGCTGTTCCTTCTTGGGGTGCTCCTGAGCTCTTAATAATTTGATCAGGTTTAGAAGAGATGATCTCCGAAGTTTCTTTTACTTGAAAACATTTTGATCACATGGTTCTGGAAAAGGTTCCAGCTTCTAAATACATAGTTGTAGTTAAGAAGGAGGGAGAGGAGCATCTCATTCAAGGCAGACTACTAAGAATCAAACCTGGGAATATGGTTAGCAATTTCCTTGTTTCAGTTTGGGATCATGAGAAATTGGAATTCACAACCAGTCTTCAGAAATTCAGTATCAGCTACTCCAACACAGTTTTAATAAGCACTAGAGTTTCTGTAAACAGATGTGTTTATAGATAGATGTGTGACCACACACACCAAAGAATCTAAGCCCATGTGACTTTTTGTTCACGTTAAGTCTCCTCACTGCCCGGCGTGTTGCCTGGTACAGAGCTGGTGCCCTAAATATTTGCTGAATGAATGAAGGAGTGAATAAATGAATGGAGAAATGGATTCAAACCCAGTACAGCTTTATAAATGAGAATGTGGAACTATTTGTTAATCATGACCTCCCTTACACATTTTAAGTGGTAAGAGAAACAACTTGAATAAATAAGAATTGATCATGAAGTGGCAGTTTGGGCATCACCTCCATGCTTCCTGTGCTTTATAGGTTCCAAAGAAGAGGACGAGAAGCCTTCAGCTTCAGCAGCTGAGCAGACAGCCATCCCTCAGGAGGCGGTCAGTCAGGATGTGCTCCCCGAACTAGGAGCCCCTCCCCCAGCCTGCGAGCCACAGACAGAGCCGGACAAGAAGCTGGAAGCAACACACTGTGAGGCGAATGACTTGGAGGAGGAGGAGGAGGAGGAAGAAGAGGAGGAGTTGGAAGAGGAGGAGGAGGGGGAGGAGGAGTTGGAAGAGGAGGGAGAAGAAGAAGCTGCCATGCCAAATGAAAGCTCGGTGACGGAGCCAGAAATACGGTGTGATGAGAAGCTAGAAGATTTATTAGAAGAACCAAAAAGGGCTTCAAAAGAAACTCTCGAAGACTCTCCAGAGGTTACACCTATTATTAAGATTCGCAGAACTAAAGATGAGGCCAATGGAGATGTATTTGAAACATTTATGTTTCCATGCCAGCATTGTGAGAGGAAGTTTACAACCAAACAGGGGCTTGAACGGCACATGCACATACACATATCTACAGTCAACCACGCTTTCAAATGCAAGTACTGCGGGAAAGCGTTCGGCACGCAGATTAACCGGAGGCGGCACGAGCGGCGCCACGAGGCGGGGCTGAAGCGGAGACCCAGCCTAACACTACAGCCGCCAGGAGAGCCAGCGGACCCCAGAGTCTCTGGCGACAGCGGTACTCCAAAAGGCAGCTCGAATGCTCCCGCTCTTGGGCAGGACTGTCTGACCTTGAATTCAGAGAAAGCTTCCCAGGAAACGGTCACTTCTTCTGTTGTAGAAGAGAATGGAGAAGTTAAAGAGCTTCATCCGTGCAAATATTGTAAAAAGGTTTTTGGAACTCATACGAACATGAGACGGCATCAGCGTCGAGTTCACGAGCGTCACCTGATTCCCAAAGGTGTGCGGCGGAAAGGTGGCCTCCTGGGAGAGCCACAGCCTCCAGCCGAGCAGGCCCCGCCCGCCCAGAACGTCTACGTTCCCAGCACAGAGCCCGAGGAGGAGGGAGAGGTGGACGACGTGTACATCATGGACGTGTCTAGCAATATCTCTGAAAACTTAAATTACTACATTGATGGCAAAATTCAGACCAGCAGCAGCACTAGCAACTGTGACGTGATTGAGATGGAATCCAGCTCGGCCGACTTGTACGGTATCAATTGTCTGCTGACTCCCGTTACAGTGGAAATGCCTCAGACTGTAAAGACCACACAGGTCCCCGTAACAGAGGATCTTCCCAAAGAGCCCGCCAGCAGCACAAACAGTGAGTCCAAGAAACGGAGAACCTCTAGTCCCCCCGTGTTACCCAAAATTAAGGCCGAAGCAGAGCCTGACCCCATCACCCCCTCGTGCTCCCTAAGTCTGCCTCTTAGCATATCCACTACAGAGGCCGTGTCCTTCCACAAAGAGAAAAGTGTGTATTTGTCATCGAAGCTCAAACAGCTCCTTCAGACCCAGGATAAGCTCACTCCTGCCGCGGGGATTCCGACGCCCGAGATCCCCAAGTTAGGGCCTGTGTGTGTGTCCGCCCCCGCTTCCATGCTGCCCGTGACCTCAAGCAGGTTCAAGAGGCGGACCAGCTCTCCCCCCAGTTCTCCACAGCACAGTCCCGCCCTCCGGGACTTTGGGAAGCAAAGCGATGGTAAAGCAGTGTGGACTGAGGCGGTTCTAAGTTCCAAAAAGCCCAAGTTAGAAAGTCTTAGCAACTCTCCGGCGTGGAGTTCGTCCGGGAGGGACGAGAGAGACACCGTGAGCCCGCCGTGCTTTGATGATTACAAGGCACCCAAAGAGTGGGCCGCCAGCACCACGTTCAGCAATGTGTGCAACCAGCAGCCTCTGGACTTGTCCAGCGGTGTCAAGCAGAAGGCTGAGGGGACCGGCAAGACTCCGGTCCCGTGGGAATCCGTCTTAGACCTCAGCGTGCACAAAAAGCCTTGCAGTGACACCGAAGGCAAGGAATTCAAGGACAGTGCCTTGGCGCAGCCAGCCTGCAGCGCTGCAAAGAAGAGGAAACCAGCCACCTGCATGCTGCAAAAGGTTCTCCTTAACGACTACAGCGGTGTCGACGTGCCCACAGAAAGCCCGGCCGATGTGGCCAGGAGCCCAAGCCCTTGTAAACCCCTGCGTCCCCAGCCAGATGCTGCCCTCGGCGCTGACTCCAGTTCATCTGCCCCTGCCGCTGAGTCCCCACCTGAGGTTTCTCCTTCCTCCCCTGCCCTTCAGACGCCCTCCCTTCCCTCCGGGCAGCTGCCTCCTCTCCTGATCCCACCCCACCCCCCTTCCCCTCCGCCCTGTCCTCCTGTGCTGACTGTTGCCACACCGCCCCCTCCACTCCTTCCTACGGTGCCTCTCGCAGCCCCCTCTTCCGGCGCGTCTCCCCGTCCGTGTCCCTCCCCACTCTCAAATGCCACTGCCCAGTCCCCGCTTCCAGTTCTTTCCCCGACGGTGTCTCCCTCGCCATCACCCATTCCTTCTGTGGAGCCTCTTACGTCTGCGGCTTCGCCGGGACCTCCCACACTTTCTTCATCGTCTTCCTCCGCGTCATCTTCATCTTCATTCTCTTCTTCCTCTTCCTCCTCTTCCCCTTCACCCCCACCTCTCTCAGCAGTTTCGTCGGTGGTTTCCTCGGGGGATAATCTGGAAGCTTCCCTCCCCATGATATCTTTCAAACAGGAGGAGCTAGAGAATGAAGACCTGAGAGCCAGGGAAGAACCCCAGTCTGCAGTAGAACAGGATATTGTTCAGGAAACATTCAACAAAAACTTCGTCTGCAACGTCTGTGAATCCCCTTTCCTTTCCATTAAAGATCTAACCAAGCATTTATCTGTTCATGCTGAAGAATGGCCCTTCAAATGTGAATTTTGTGTGCAGCTTTTTAAGGCTAAAACTGATTTGTCAGAACATCGCTTTTTGCTTCACGGAGTTGGGAATATCTTCGTGTGTTCAGTTTGTAAGAAAGAATTTGCTTTTTTGTGCAATTTGCAGCAGCACCAGCGAGATCTCCATCCAGATACGGTGTGCACACACCACGAGTTTGAAAGTGGCACCCTGCGGCCGCAGAACTTCACAGATCCCAGCAAGGCCCACGTCCAGCACATGCACAGTTTGCCAGAAGACCCTTCAGAAACGTCGAAAGAGGAGGAGGAGGAGTTAAACGATTCCTCCGAAGAGCTTTACACGACCATCAAAATAATGGCTTCTGGAATAAAGACGAAAGATCCAGATGTTCGGTTGGGTCTCAATCAGCATTACCCAAGCTTTAAGCCACCACCCTTTCAGTACCATCACCGAAACCCCATGGGTATCGGGGCGACAGCCACAAACTTCACTACCCACAATATTCCGCAGACCTTTACTACCGCCATTCGTTGCACGAAGTGTGGAAAAGGTGTTGACAACATGCCTGAGTTACACAAACACATCCTGGCGTGCGCGTCCGCTAGTGACAAGAAGAGGTACACCCCGAAGAAAAACCCAGTGCCACTGAAGCAAACCGTGCAACCCAGAAACGGTGTGCTGGTTCTAGATAGCTCGGGGAAAAGCGCCTTCCGACGAATGGGACAACCCAAAAGACTGAACTTCAGTGTGGAGCTCAGCAAGATGGCCCCGAGTAAGCTCAAATTAAACGCATTGAAGAAGAAAAACCAGCTTGTCCAGAAAGCAATCCTTCAAAAAAACAAATCTGCAAAGCAGAAGGCCGACCTCAAAAATGCGTCAGAGGCTGCCTCGCACATCTGCCCGTACTGTAACAGAGAGTTCACCTACATCGGAAGCCTGAACAAACACGCCGCTTTCAGCTGTCCCAAAAAGCCGCTTTCTCCTTCCAAAAAAAAAGCTTCCCACTCCTCCAAGAAAGGCGGACACTCGTCACCTGCAGGGAGCGACAGAAACAGTAGCAGCAGCCACCGCAGACGGACCGCGGATGCGGAGATTAAAATGCAGAGCATGCCGGCACCCCTGGGCAAGACCCGAGCGCGCAGCTCAGGCCCCACGCAGGGCCCGCTGCCCTCCTCTACCTTCAGGTCCAAGCAGAATGTCAGATTCGCAGCTTCGGTTAAGTCTAAAAAACCAGGCTCCTCTTTAAGGAACTCGAGCCCGATAAGAGTGGCCAAAATCACTCAGGTCGAGGGGAAAAAACCCAGAGCTGTGGCCAAGAATCATTCTGCCCAGCTCTCCAGCAAGGCGTCCCGGAGCCTGCACGTGAGGGTGCAGAAAAGCAAAGCCGTCCTGCAAAGCAAAGCCGCTTTGGCCAGTAAGAAAAGAACAGACCGGTTCAATGTAAAATCTAGAGAACGGAGTGGGGGGCCGATCACCCGAAGCCTCCAGCTGGCAGCTGCTGCGGACCCGAGTGAAAACAGGAGGGAGGACAGCAGTGGCAAGCAGGAGCCAAAGGACGTCAGGTAAGCCTGTCTGTCCCAGGGCCAGAGGACTCAGAGCTCAAGAGCGTGGGGGCGGGAGAGACGGTTGGAAGAAAACACTGTGCTTGCCCAGTGGCTCGGTTTTTCTCTTTCCTGTGTAATTTTGACATACGCATTGAAAGGAAATGGCTGTTGCTTCAGTTGTGGGCATGTGAAGAAGGGTCACTGCTCTCTCTGCAGACACGGATACCTAGCTTTTATCTCAGACCCGGGACTGACAAAGTGCCATTTCTTGTAGGGCCAGTTGTGAATTGAATTGGCAACCAAGACAAGCTCTCAAAAGCACCCAATTTTGAAAAGATGGCATTCCCCTAAATTCCCTTCATATCTTGGGTAGTGTCTCAGTGTCACCTGTATTATTTCTGGATCATTTCTGCTGTTAAAATGGATTACTGAACTCATTAAAACCGCATTGCAGTCTTGTTTAATATTTCTGTGACTCAAGCATAGTTACAGTAACTGAGAATGCTTCCAGTATTCCATGCTTCTATTGTTTGTATTTTAAAACTTGCCTCATTGGTTAAAACAAAACCCACCATAATCAGTTTCAAGTGCCGTTATGTCCCCCCCGGCCCCTCCTATCTCCAGGCATAGGTTGATAAACAGGCCAGATCCCAACAGAGAGGACGCTGGGACAGGGCTTAGGCCCTGCAGTGACGCCAGACCCTGCGGCTCCTGCAGCCACATGTCGAAGCTCAGGGCGAGTCAGCCCGGCTTGTCAGTGCCTTCGTAGCCCCAGGAGTGATGTGAGAATGCCTCTCAGATTTGAAGCGACTTCACGGTTTTCTTCTGTGTCCTCCCGGTATTAAGAACTGTTCTGAGTGACACGTAAAAAGCGTAGGGCAATAGTTAAATTTGTTACATCGACTTCTCAAACTTTCTAAGTTACTTAAATAACCTGGATTGATAAACATTCTTAGAATTCCTGCTGTTTCCTAAATAATGCCTATGGTTATTCTTGTGAAATCCTCATCATCAGGTAGAATTTCTGCAAAGTACTTTAAAATCGTGTCCTTTCAGAGCGAGCTGCCTGACTCTAGGGTTTCTCGGCTGTAACTGTCATTGTCTGAAAATTCTCTGGTGTTTCAGGCAAACACAGTTAGCGTTACCTGGGGAGCAGGCTGCCATTGTGGGAAGGTCAGGAGGACTCAGGTGCTGTTAGCACTGCACAGCCGATGAGGTAGAATTCTGGGTGCGGGTGTGCCTTGAGTCATGGCTAAAGAAAGGCGGAGAGGAGACTCTTCAGCCCTGTGTGGACCCAGGAGCAGACTTTTGCAAAGCAACTGCAGAACTGGACTAGACAGTTAGTGGCTGTAGACCGCGTTCCGCACCTGCTCCCTGGCCGCAGCACATGTGTCTGTAGCACCTTGGAGCTTAGCCCTGGTGAAAATATGCACCTGCCTAGCAGCTGTTGGAGCTGCCTGCCTGTAGCAGGTTAACTGTACCTGTTGGTACTCATCTGTGTTGCAGCTCCACAGCAGTAGGACGTTCTTGAACCGAGTCCTTTTCAAGGTTGAAGAACCAGAATGGGCCATGATTTTCATGGACTATACCGAAAACCATCTCCCGGGCGGTGGATGCTTTAGACTGTATTGTGTGTATCCCCTTTTGTCTCCAGTATTATCTGAAACAAACTCCCATTTTGTACTGGATCCCATTTTTACAGCTCAAGAGTAAAGTTGACATGAAAAATTAAGATAACTGTAAGGAAAAGTTCTCTGAGTAACTATAAATGTATGCAGTCTGTTCAGTAAGCCTCTTAACGCTTGCATCCACTGCTTTTGGAAGAACCCTTAAGGCTGCAGAGGACCAAAGTGCCTAATAAAATTCTGTCTCTTGTCTTTGCTCCTGTTCATTTTAATTCTTTTGCTTTGCTTGATAATTAACAGGGTTACCTTGCTGGAATGAAATTTGGCCTAAAAGCAAACACAGAAGCGTCAGATAAGAAAGCAGTTTTGTTCTAACTGGTAGATGGTAGCAGCAGGTAGCTGTCCCCTCTTTGTGTAGTCCCTGGAACGGTGCTGTGGACACATCAGAAGGACATGGGTCTTCCACACGGGTCCATAAATTTGTGAAGTATTTTTGGGAATTAGAAAACGAAGGACATCGTATTTGGATTATGTGGACACGAGAGTGGGCCTTTCTTCAGGGAGTTTGCTGGGGTCTTAGCACCGTGTAGTACGCATTTGGTGTAAAGCCGGGATTCCTGCACACAGGCCTGGGGAACGCTTGCTGTGTTACCCTGGTAAGGAGTCGTTTTAACCACAGCCTTCTTCCTTCTCAGTGTATTTCTACTTTAAATTTGATTCAGGGATGATCTCATGGCACATGGTAGAAGTACTCGCTTTCACTCTGTTTTCAGTGATTTAGCTTTGCTTCATTGTATATTCAGGGGCTTACCACAGAGCTGGCAGCACGTCCTTTCCCGTGTATTTCATTACAACAGCCTGTGATGAAGAGCTAGACCCCAGTACTCAGACATGTTTACATTTGAGGCCAGCTTAGGATTCCACAGTTTTTCAGGTATATGCTTGCAATCAGCCATGTGAATAAAGTTAAACGTTTTCAGAATTTTCCATTTAACAGAGGGCTCAGCAGAATTTGCCAGTTGGTCATTTCCTGGAGCACAAGCCATCATCCTATTCAGGGTGTAAAAAAGACATGTGCTCCAAGTCCTTTTCTTAGGACAAAGTGGCAAAGGACGGTGGGCATACCACCCATCTTTAGATTGTCCCATTATAGCCCCTAATCCAGTGTCCCCTATGTTGGGCTCACCTTCCACAGGGAGCAGTCGGAGCCCACCTGTGGCTTATTGGCCCGAATGGATTTAGACCTGTTGCTGAGGGCTCATGTCCACAGGCTATAAAAAAAGACAGGGAAAGAGAGATGTGCTCCACTCCCCTCTTCCCCGTCTTCGGTCTTTGTAAATCCCAAGGTGCTTTTACATTCTGTAATACTCCTTTTAGAGCAGCTCTCTGTAAAAAATACTGTTTCCGTTGCAGCTAGTCAAAAACATTTAAAAGATGGAGAAGCAAAATGAAATTCCAGACCCAGGTTTTCCCGTTCACCATGACTTGATTGAAAAAATGAAATGACGTGAATTTGTCACATACCCATCTCTGCCACACCACTCCAAATAGGGCTGTGGCCTTGTGAGTAGGACACCCGAGTTCTTGCATACCTTCAGTCATTTTGTTGCTGTCGTAATAACATTTGTTATGTGGTCTGCTCACTTTTTCTTTAACATGGTCAATTCATGTAAGATTATGTTACGTTGTCATTTATCTTCAGTTTTCTTATTTTCTAGGAACTTCCTGTAGAAAAGCCCCCCAAAACAAAACAAACCTTAATTGACTAAATAAAGATAATGCATGCTCAACTTAGGATAAGCACTACGGCAAACGATACGAAATCTACCAAGCTTGCAAGACCAGCTGAAGCTGACTCAAAATTCCTAGCACACAGCTGATTGCCGGCTGGCTCTTGTGGCCCTGGTTAGAGTCAGGCGTCTGCTGCTTCGCTGGTGCCCAACACGGCTGGGCTTCCGGGTGACTGAGATGCACGAGAGCGTTCGTGGCACGACGGGCCAGATGAACTGGCTCGTTGTCACGGGACTGATAACTCAGATGTGAGTGTGGCCCTGGGTTTTGGCACATAGCGGAGGAAGGAATGATTTGAACTTAACCTTGCAAAGCAAGTTCTCTGTTTTATCAGTAGTTTGTTGTAGATTTCAGGGATGACAAATTCTAATGCACTCGTTTTAAGATGTTTTGGTCACACACCAGCTCTTGATGCCTTTCTTTTAAATCAGTAATAGACAGAGAGAGGCCTTTTGCTTCTCTTAGCCTGTTTTTTTTTTTTTTTTCCTTCTTTTAATCACAAGCAGGTTGCCAGCATGATGGAGAGGAAACCAGATTGGATATGGACTCCTTTTTTATGCCTCTTCCATTGTCATGTTTATATATCCAAATGGACATCCTCTCAAATAATGATCTGGCACTAATTTATAACTGTTATATTACTGGAGACTATGTAGCAATATATCAATGCCCAGGATGTGTCACAGGCCTGTGTAGATATATGTACACACATAAGCATAACTGATTGAATTTACGTACCAGGTTTTACACTTCAGTCTCTAATAGAGATTTTTTAAAACTGTTACAGATTGGCCTCTTCCTGAGTATATATCATTTCTCCATGGATTATATGCTTCCCCTCTAGTTAATGACTGAGTTGGTGGAAAATGGCTAGGTTTTATTCATGTTTTTTTGTTCTCAACTTCAAAAGTAATCTACCTCTTAAAATTTGTAGTTTAATACTTGTTTGGTGAATTTGTGCCACTTTAACCCTTTCACTATCATTCCCATTTTGTTACATTTCTGTTCTGGGGACTTTTATGTTGAAATATTGTATAAAGCATTTGTAGCAGTTTAAAAATAAAATATTTAAAATTATTTAAATTGTTTTGGACGCTTCAATTGTATTATATGTGATTTACATTTTACATTTTTGTTTGAGTTGTTAATCTGGAGAGTGTTCTTGTATTGAAGTTTGCTGTTAGTTATTTTATTGTTTCTTGTTGGAGAGTTATGACATAAAAGACTATTCTAATGAAAACATTAAAATTTTCAATTTGACGTACAAAAGGGGTTGTCCATTGATTTTAACCACTGTAGCCTTTTTTAAGAGAGAAAGAGGTTAATTGTAGATAGAGAAGAGTGCTGTTTGCTATCTATCCCCTTCAGCATGAAATCATTTGAGCTTGTCAGATGTACAAAAGTTTTTTATGCTGTTGCTAGCAAGCACTTAATAACTAAGGGGGAATTCAAGTGATAACGTTTTATATAATTGTAACCAATAAAAACTTTCTGAAAACTTGTGAAAGGACTGCATTTTGTACGTCATTGGGAGCAGTTAGGGGCAGAACATGTCGGGACGCCTGGGAAAGGTGGTCAGAGCCAGCACGCTTCGGTGTGCAA